CTGCCTTCCTCACCTCACTGTGGTCTCCTTGTTTGTTTTCACTGGGGCCTTTGCCTACCTAAAACCCACCTCCAGCTCCCCATCTGCTCTGGATCTTGTGGTGGCTGTTCTCTATTCCATATTGCCACCAATCATGAATCCAATTGTCTACAGCATGAGGAACAAGGAGATCAAAGCTGCCCTGAGGCGATTGACTGGTTATAGGTAATTCACAAAGAATTAATTTTCTGTCTTTCTCTAATTAAAGTTTGCTTACTTAGTATCTGTTCATTAATGTCAGTTATTTCCATGACCACACAGCTTGCACACAAACAGGTCTGATTTTAATCTCAGTTGCACCAATGCAAATCCAGATTAACTGCTGTCACTGCTGCTGGGGTGATTTACACTAGTAGAAAATCTGGTCCAGTTGTGGAGTTAAATGGGTGTAAATTGTGTGCGTGAGTGGAATGAGACTTTCATTCTGTGCCCAAACAATACCTGTTACACTGCTTGGCCACTAGCACCTGTTCCATGGCCACTGAAAACAATGATGGAAGTTGTCTTGCTTGTGAGTATGAATCAGGAGTGGCTTCGTTGGAACAAAAGGAGTCAGACAGTTGTAAGATTGGGGTAGGTGAGAGAAGACATCCGTGTAGTTCCATTGACTCTGGTGGCCCTAAAGCAATTTTCAGCATCTGTCGATCTGACCTACTGCCTCCAAAGGAGCTGTATATCCACTGCCACCAGCTGGGGAATGAACCCATTGTCTTATAAACCACCATTCATGGCCTAATCACTAAAGGGGGACAAGGAGCCAGACTGTGTTAGCCTGGCTCACGTGTACATTTGGGCATGTGAGTGATGGAGAGACTGGCTAGAAATTACAGGGAGGTTTCTAACCACCAGCGGGGTGAGGTTCTGGAGCAGCCTCCAAATAGAAGTTGTGGGGGGCAAATGACCGAATTCATTTTAAGAGAGAGCTGGACACATGTCTGAGTGGGATTGTATGATGGGGCTGCTTGTGATGGTGGAGGGCAGGGCTCAGCAACCCTGGGTCTCACTTGCAGCGTATGTCTTATGTTTCTAAAAGCTCATGCTTCAGGGTTTCATCTGGCCACTGGCAGGGGTCTGGAAGGGATTCTCCCCCCCCCGCCCTCAGTGTATTCTGGGAGGGTGTTTTTTTAAATCTCTGAAGTATCGGGGCGGCCCTAGCTGGAGATGGGACATTAGGTGGGATGTGCCAGGGCTCTGAGGTGGCACTGAGGCATTCTCTCTCTCTCTCTCTCGGGTGTTTTGCTGGCTGGTTCTTGCCCACATGCGCAGGGTCTAACTGATCATCATGTGGCAGTCAGGAAGGAATTTTCCCCCTGGTCAGATTGGCAGGGACCTTGGGGGAGGCGGGATTCACTTTCCTCTCCAGCATGTGCTGCGGGTCACTTGCCAGGATTTTCTGGGTGTATCTCAATCATTTCCCTGCCATTGTGGGGGCCTTGGGCACTGGTGCACCTCAGTCTCTCCTATTCTCTGCCAGTGGCACAGAACCATCTAGTCTCCTGGGGGCTGTGACACTTTGGTGAAATTTCAGTTGTTGGGTTTGAAGTGCAGGTGCCGGGTGGTGTTGGAGTACAGGAGATCGGACCGGATGATCTGCTCGTTCCTTCTGGCCTTGAACTCTATGACTCTGTGTCTTTATGGATGTGCAGGGACGGGGGAGAGGAGAAGGGGCCACACAGAAAATAAACACTAGCAGAGTCCATGGCGTTGCATTAGTACAACTGTCTGTGAGGCCCTGTCCTCCTGGCTGAGGGAGGTGACTCCAGCTCAGATGGAGCCCTTGACCTGTGTAGCTGTGCAGTGTCGCTGTATAAACATCACCCATGGGCAGTGCATGTTATGAGGCCCCTCTGTGCCGCACCTGAGGATCGGAGGCTGTTCCAGTGGCTGTCAGGCAGCCTGGTTCTTCAGCTCAAGCTGTAAAAGCTCGTACTTTGGGCCCTAGATGTCTCTGAGTCCCCCGGATGCCAGCCTAGATTAGATGGTGACCCTCGCATATGTGCAAGTGGCCTGAGAACTTCAGGGGACCTTATTCCTGCACTAATCAGAAGCTGATGTTCCCTACCAAGCTATTGCAGAACAGCAATGGGAATGAGACCTAAGAGGGGATGGACTCCCTAGTGAGAGAAGGGGCAGGTTTATTCCCGGATCATCTCAGACATACCCATTCCTAGTCCCTCTGCACCCTGGAGACCGAAGAAGAATGGCATGGGCAGTGGTTTGTATGTTGCTGTCAGCTCAGGTTGGTAGAGTTGGTCAAAGTAACTTGTCATTGGGAAATGGTTTCCTCAACCTGTTCCTGACAGATGCCACTATGTTTTTAGCTGAGTTAAACAATCTGCCAATGGCTTGGGAAAATGTTGCCCAACTCTGCCCTCAACTAGGTTGGCCACTGACACATTCCCAGAATACCGGACATTCTGGTACTTCTGGGAAAGCTGTGGCCCCGCCCCTGTCTGCGTGGCCCCACCCACCAGTGTGACCTTGCATGCCTCCCTAGTCCGTTATACTAGACAAAACCATGTCTGGTTTTCTCTCAGTACCAGACAGGACAAGCCACACCAAAAGGGGATTATCTGGCTTAAAACCAAATGAATGGCCATCTACCTTAACCCACCATGCTCACCCCTCCGAACAGCTTCTTCACGGCTTCCTAGATACCTCCTCTACCAGAAATATGTTCCAACAAACTGGATCTCCTGCATTCTGTCCCAGAGGCAATGGTGGCGGGAATATTGTCCAACAGTGAACATTGTGGCTCCCTTCTGGAGTAGGGCCTAATGGAATTAAAGGAGTCCTTGGGAACTTGCGTTTAACACCTCAGGACTCTTAGAAAATCACAGCTCTGGTATTAGACCAACCTCCTGTCTTTTCCCTAGACATGGCACCTCCAGGTTACATGACAGACACATTGCCTTAGACAAGTGCACTTGCTTTATAGGTGAAAAGAAGGATTTAGTTCTCCAGGGCTCTCAATTAAGGACCAAACTAACAAGACACTGAAAACAGTCTTTAGAATTGTAAAGGTCCCTAGGGGATTTGGACAGAATTATAAAAACAAAGCAGCTTAAGGCAAAGCACACACTAAAGGCAATAGCCCCAGTTTCACTGAGATATGAGTCATAGGAAGCAAGTTTGAGGAGCTGGGGGATTTCACAGAAGAACTGATCCATCTCATGGTCTCCACAGAAGATTATTGTAAACGTGTTTCCAGTGTGAAGTGCAGAATTGAGAACCCCACTCATCCAGGTACTGGCTGCCATTTGGACACAAGTTCTCCTGTTCTTGATCTCCTTGAAGTCCCCCTGTTCTCCATGTCAGGATAGATAGATTTTGGCTGCTTGGTTCAACTCTCACCCTGAATTTAAAGGCACTAGTCTACAAAACGAATTTTGTGGACTATCAGTTTTCCTGCTTACTCAGTTTTACTATCTGGCAGCTACCCCTCTGAAACAGAAATAAGACGCGATGCAATAGAGTGTATGGGTTTGAAATTATTGTATTATTGGACAATATTTGCATTCCCCGGTCTTTCTTAAAGGTCAGTTTCCAATTAAG